GATGCGCGGCTGCCGCAGGCGTTCTCGTCTCCCTCGCCTCCCTCGTCCTGCTGGGTGCCATCCTGGTAGCTGGCAGCTCGGACCGCTTCCCGCTCGAGCCCGTGCCTGGCTGCTTCCCCTGCTGGTGCTCCTCAGAGGGCGAGCTCCGATCTTGCAGCGTGGGCCGCGGACGGCCTTGGGCAGTTGCGCGTCCTGGTTATTTGGAGCCGAGCCCTTGGGTATTTGGTCTCGGGAGATTTTGCCGGCCTTCCGCGCCTCCGTGTCTTCGACCTTCACGACGACCCTCTTTTCCATGTGCAGCCCGGCACGTCCCCAGGGCTCGTGCAGTTGCGGCTTCTGTTTTACAGTAACCTGATAGATCTGCAGCCAGGGGTCTTCGCGGACTTGGTGGAACTGCGTCGCCTCGACTTGAGCAGCAATGAGCTTGGACAGCTGCCCGCTGGTGCGTTTGCGGGCCTCGTAAACCTGGAGGAGCTAGACCTCTCTGGCAACGCCTTCCTCGGTGAGTTAGAACCAGGCGTCCTGGATGGTCTGAACAGTCCTCCTCTGCAATTCCTGAACGTGGAAGGCCCGCGCCGCTTGGGCGCGGTGCAGGAGTGTGCACCCTGGATCGGCGTGGCAGACGAATGCAGGGACAGCTTTCTAGGGTTGTGGAACGTCACGCGCTTTTGCATGAACGATGCAGTCGTGGACGAACTTGGATGCTCCGAGATCAAGTCGCTGCGCAGCAGCCGCAGCAGCGGTCACGTGTTCAACGCAGTTGAAGTGGCCTGCACAGCGACCTGCGGCACGTGCGTCGTCCCTGCAGCCGACCACCCGTTAGATGGCGATTGCGCCGATGAGGATTGGATGATGGCATCTGTTCCTGTCGTTTCTGGAGTATTTCAAGTGCCAGTTGACGCACCTGGAGCACCCGGCACCACCCAGCCATCCAGCACATGGGCCACCTGTGCAGACATGGTGGCCGTAGAGGCTTGCGAGTAATATCTCTGGCAGGATATCGCCAAGCTGATCTGCCCTGTCGCCTGCGGCTTATGCGAGGCGTTGAGGTCGCGTGGTTGCGTGGGTGCAGTTTTTTATTTGGAGCTGGCACAGGAAGCTGCTTGTGCGGCGAGGGCTAATTCTTGACCGACTTGTGTGGCGTTGATGGCAGCCTTGGCGACGGTGTGCGCCTTTTGTGACCATTTTCATGTGGTGACTGCTCGACCGCCGCGGAGGGCTGCGTGGGCGCCGTTGCCAGCCTGGCGTTGGGCGAGGTGCTCGAGCTGCTGACCGCTGGTTTGCAGCAGGACTTCGATGTTGCAAGCGGGTACAACTACATCTGTGCTGACTGGTGCTTGGGCGTGCATGGAGAGTATGACCAGTGCCAAATCACGAAGTGGCTTGCCTATAAGGAGTGTGCCATCATATGTTCGCAGATACCGGAGTGCATTGGTCTTGCGTGGGCCGGTCCGTCGCGATGCGATATCCACGCTAGCGACGCAGTGCCACCGACAATCTCAGGAATCACGTCTTACACATGGCCAGGCGATTAGAGCGGTGTTTATGCAGGTCACAGTGGCAGTGGGCGAATGATTGCTATGTCTGGCCTCACGTCGTGCTCCTCGGGGTCGTGCTGTTTTGAATGCAAAGCGTCGAACATCGTGACAACATCTACTACTGCGGCGGACGTGGAGATCACCATCGTTGTGAAGGGCGACGCATCCCCGCAGCTCTCAGTGACCTCTGGGTCCTTCCCAGGTGCGTGGCGGACACTCGCAGCTAACAGTGTGCAATAATCGGACACTCATAATGTGTTTGGCGGAATTCCTGTCGATTTGATCGGGGAGCAGTGCTTCCAGGGCCCACAAGACCCAGGGCCCTGTCCTCTGGAGCTGACGGCAAGTGGCACTTCTGTGACTGTGCTGGCGAGCCATGGCAATTCTGCACTCATGATGTCCGCGCTGCTTGTGGACCCACCTGGTATGAAGACACAGCTCCCAAACATGACGACGACGAGCTATCGTACTCGTGGCTTCGAGCAGACGACTGTTCATCTGGTACCCACGCCAGCGCCGCCGCCGACACCAATTCCGCCACTGGTTTCGACGCCCAGCGCATTTGTCTTGGATCACAGATAGACTGCGGCAGTCTGGCTGGACACTTATAGCAGGTTTGACTGTGGCGCGAGTTGCGCAGCCAGAGTGTGTTCTCTATTGCGGTGCAACAGCACATGCTCCAATCCTTTGTTCACGTCGTGGCTGGTGGACTGCGCGGCGGCCCGGGGGGAAGAGGGTAACCGTGGAGAACAATGCGAGCACGTATGCGTGCGCCGGTGCCAGTTTTAACCACATACTTGTTGGCCGCAGGGAGTTGGCGGCGCCGCGAGCGCCGCGCGGGGCGCGCAGACGTCGGCGACCTGTGGCAAGCTGTAGCTCAGCACTACTGCGCGTGGTTGTGAGAGATGCCTTGGGCTGCCAGCGCCCTCTTGGAGACATGTTCAACATAATGTGTGCTTGAACCGACATGTATCGGATAGGACTTGCGGCCGATCCCACCGACCCTGAAGCGGCCGCGATGGAGTCAAGGAGCGCACAATGGCTGGGCGACGACGATCCCAGAACGGCCTAAACAACAAATCAAGTCCCGACCATACGAGAGATGCGGGGGATGAAGTCACGCCCGCTGTCAGGCCCCGTCCCGCGGTCGATCAGGTCCCAGAGCAGTGTCGGGCCGACCTCGTAGCTTGCACGGAAGTTCCAGAGATGAGTAAGAATCCCTAAGTGCAATCACTACTTAGGGAGAGAGAGAGAGAGAGAGAGATAGAGATAGAGAGAGGGGAAGAGGATTGGGAGGACTGGGCGACAGAATGATGTCACGGAGGTAAGGCTCTCTAGCCAGCCTCGCGAGGTCCTTCCCAGCCGTCTTTTGGATACATGTTTTGCAGTGTTCCGTCTCTTTCGGCGATGTTCGCTCCTCTTGGTGGCATCAGGGGGCGTCGTGGTCTTGGTGGCTTCTTGGACGCCCCCTGATATTCCAGGGGCCTCTGAGGCCGTCTTGAACGTGTCTTCGGTCCCTTCAGGTCGGTTTGGTGGCTTTTCAGTGGACCGCTGGACCGTCCAAGGCTTCTTCGACAACTTCGGACACCTCTTGGACGCCTCTTCAGGTGCCTTGGGAGCCTCTTGGGCCATGCTGTCCTCGGGGCCTCTTGGAGACCTTCTGGGCGTCGCAGGGTCATGCTGGATGCCTTTTGGACGCCTCTTGGTGGCCTTTGTGTCTGTCCTGCTGGCCTCCTGGGCTGACTCGAAGGCCTCCTGGGGGCGTCTTCGGGGCCTCCTGGTAAATTTCAAAGCCGCTTGTGCGAGCCGGCGTCTCGGGGGACCTAATGGGAACAAGAGGCGTGTGTGTGTGTGGTGTCGGAGGCGCAGTCGGTCCTTGAGGGGCGCATTGGGTGCCAACGAGGGCAAGGCGCATTCTGATACATTATGGTCTGTACCTCGGCGCCTTCGATCTTACAGGCGCATGCTTCCTCCCCCACAAATGGATGCCTTTTCAATCGGCGAAAGAGAGCGCGCGCGTGCGTGCACTGGAGGAGGAGAACGAGGGTGAGGAGGAGGAGGAGGAGGAGGAGGCAAAGGAGGCCAAGGAGGAGGAGGAGGAAGACGACGACAACGACGACGAGGGGGGCGTACAGATGGCTCCTGGGCCCAGGGTAGGCCTGGCAGGGGGGCAGTGGATATGAGCAGAGCTCGCCGTCCTACAGATAATCGCCGAAGTGGGGATCACGGGGAGAGGGTGAGCGGAGGTGTACAGCCAGAGGAGCTTGGGGCTCACCTCTACTTAAGCCACCTGCATCCCAGAGGGCTGATGGGATCTTGTGTCTTGCGTTTCTCCAAACCTAGAGCTCATCTCTATGCCAGAGGTGCCCAGGGTATACATCGGCGGACATGTTTCTGTTGTTTGATCAACGTTTGGGCGTACACATCCTGCAACTTACAGAGGAAGTGAATAGCTACATGTCTGGGAAACTATGTTTTTCACAAGTGTGCCAAGTTTCCTTCAGGACTACGCGGCGATCGCGTCCGTGGGGTGTTGAGGCCCTTGCCTCGGTTATCAACGTGGTCCAAGCATGTGCCACAAAGCCTCGATGACTCTGTCAGAATCGCGTCTGGTGGATGTTGTGGCCCGAAGAAGGTATCGCCATAAGGCCTTCAGCATGGCTTTAACATGGCCTTAACATGGGTCAGAAACTGGGCAGGATCATCGGAGGCCCCATCTGGGGGGTTTCGCCGTGACATGGCCCCACCATTATCATTTTCAACATGGGCGAGCAACTGCCAACATTTGTGAAACTCGCGTCTGAGGAGTGTCGGTTCCCTCGCCAGGTGAGCATCAACATGGCACCAGCATGGGCCGGACATCCTTCAAGGCGACGTTCAGATCGTAGATGCCAAGTGCTGAGGCGATCGCCACGAGTCATCGTGCGCCGCAAATCCTCCAGGACTTAGTGTGGATCTAGCCTGGTGGACGTGGAGGGCCTCTTTGCTGGAGGGCCTCGATGTGGCCTCCACGTTCTGTCAATGCTGGGATGCCATCTGTCGAGGCTGCGCGGGCATCACATCTTGTGGATGCTGGTGTTCTCGGTGGTTGGTTCAACGAGTCGGCCAGGCAAGACCATGGGAACTAATAGTGAAACTTGGGATATGCACGCGGCTGCAGTATACGTCGGCTCAACGGACGTGCCCGTGACCACCTCATTGTGAGCAAGAGGCAGCCAGCATTACCCAACAGCAGGTCGAGGTCAGACGTGCCAGGAGCATGTCCTTCTGTGTGCCTGCAGGCTTCTCTGCTTGTTAGTGCGGCTGGGAGTCCCGTCTCGTGTCCTGTGGCCAACACCCCCCCTGCCTTTTCTGCCTTTCGCATCCCCAGTCCAAATACCTCTGCCCCACTTGCCTCTTGTTTTGCCCTCCCTTGCGCGCTTTTGCACTGCTGTTCTCTTCTTGCTTCCAGTCGCTCTTCAGGATGGCATTACAAGTACTGGCAGAGGCATACGGCGGGGTACTTGCGCACCTTCGAGAAAAACAACAAGCTGCCCAACAACGAAATGATAGGCTGGTCGGGAGCTCGGGCTCGCTCCCGTTGCCCGCATGCATGGCTCATACGGCTGCGTGAGCTCAGATATTTGTGGTCTCGTGCAGCGCGGACCCTGTACCGATCGTCGTTGGTGCGGGTTGGATGTCCCCGGAAGGGGGGGTAGCCTGGATGGGCGGCAGGGAGCACATAGGCTCGAATGTAGACCACTCCCGACAGGAGAACCTATTGACATCAGGAGTAAGGGTGCTTTGAACTGCTCGCAGCACTTGCGGTTGTTGCGCCCATTGTCCTGGGACTTGCTCCGGTCGGATTCCCTGCCCCAGGATCCGTGACGGTCGGTGGGTATTCAATGAATGAGGATGAGAATGTGGAGGAGGACGAGCAGCAAAAAGAAGAGGACGAGGAGGAGGTGGAGGAGGAGGAGGAGGAGGAGGAGAAAGAGGAGGATGAGGAGGACGAGGAGGAGAGGATGAGGAGTGCAAGGGGGAGCAGGGGGGGTTGCTTCGGACAGTCTTGGACGGCCTTGCGGCTTTCTAGGAGCGTCTTGGAGCTGTTTTTGGGGTCGTGTTGCTGTCTTGAGCCAGTCCTGAGCCGCCCTGGGGCCATCGTGGCTTTGTTCAGGGCCATCTTGAAGCTTCCCAGTTCCTGGGTCGACGATGATGTGCCTCGGGGCGGCCCGAGGGACGGCAAGAGATCTACTGGAGGCCACCCTGGCCCTTCCAGGGATGAGCCAACACTCGCCCACACTTTTTCCTCCGACGCGAAAGAACGGTCCAGCTTGCGTGGTACCCAGCACTGGGGATGCCAGCGGCTCGAGTTTGCATCCTCGTGAAGCGGGTGGCCAGACGGAACACTTTAGAAAGCACACACGCAGCAGTGACCGTTCCAGTAATGCGGCGCAGCGCAACGCAACGCCCGATCGGCCCAGGGCTGGCCCTGATGCAGAGCACGGGAGTGTGCACGGCGACAAACACCTTCGGAGCGTCACCCGTCTGGACAGATCACGACAACGCGGCCACGTGGGAGGCGGAGCGGGAGAGGGGGAAGGAATGATGATGATGATGATGATGATGATGATGATGATGATGATGATGATGATGATGATGATGATGATGATGATGATGATGATGATGATGAGAATGAGGATGAGGATGAGGATGAGGATGAGGATGAGGATGAGGATGAGGAGGAGGAGGAGGAGGAGGATGAGGATGAGGATGAGGATGAGGATGAGGATGATGAGGAGGAGGATGAGGAGGAGGAGGAGGCGCAGGAGGGAACGTCAAGGGCAGCATAGGCGCTCAGTTCGTCCACCTGCCTCGCTGCGCCTGTTGAGGCATGCTGGAGACCTGGCAGGGGTCGTGGGGCTCCGCTCGGGAGGGCGTTGATGCCAGCAGGAGGAGGGGTGCTGGGGCCATCTTCGGCTGCGCCTTCTGTCACCGAGCGCGTTCCACTACGCGCAATGTGTCTGCTCGCAAACGCCCGAAAACACACATGTCTGCTTCTATGCAATGTATCGTAGAGCCCCCGCGGCAGCTCCATGCCATCTGCGAGTAGCCACTTCGCGAGTAGTGGAACGCGCTCGTCTATTCTGACAGTCTGAGCAGAATCGGGATGTGGGAGGGCTGCTGGCCCCTGGCTCGCCTGGCAGCAGACATCCTTCGGATCATGAGCCCCAGCCTGCGTCTCAGGAACCTTACGTGCTGGGGCCGGGTTTACAGGTGGTTGCCCAAACAGTGTCGCAGAACGTGCTGCCCGCGGCGGAAGAGCGAGGTCGTCCTGATCCCCGATTGCCTGGAAGAGGCCGAGACGTGGTACTGTGAGTGAGTGCTTGTGGGCTCCCTCTGGGCGGGGGCTTCAGCGTTAAGAGTGTCGTCAGGGGGCGACGCGCTGGCGACAGGCACTATGGGGCTTGGCGCGTGCCTGCTGCTGCGAAGCGCGACGGTGGACATGTCCAGCCGTTTTGTTCCATGACCACTTCGTTCTAACCCTGGTTGGGCCACTTTTCCTCTGTTATTTGTCGCTCATGTGCGCTGTCTCAAGCAGGCCGTGGCGAGTTCGGCTGTGTGATCGTGGAGAGTAGAGTCGGCATTGCATCGAACTTTGTCATGAGTGGACCAGCCACCAGAAACGACAGCGATGGGTGCACCCTTATCTCATGTATTGTCACATCGGGGGCATAGCGGAGGAGAGGGGCTACAGAAGCAGAGGTGGCTTCGGAAGATGTGGATGGTGGTAGGGAGTGCTCTCTCCTTACTGATAGGCTATGTCATCAACGACAAGCACCCGAAGACAATTCGGGTGGCCTGCGACCGCTACATGTGGGTGATGCGGTACAAAAAGGTGTTCTACTTAGCATTTGAATCGGGAAGATGTTTCGGCTCGAATTTGAGCAGTGGCTCTCTGGGTATGTTTTCTCTCAGGTGTTTGCCGCGTACGACGGTCCCGCCGTTGGAGTTGCCGTTCATTCGCCATCATTACTTGGCGCGCTAGCCCCAGTGTGCGCCTACTTGGTGCACCGTTCCGCGCTGTCCGCACACAAGCAGTGCCGCTGGCCTGTGCTCAAGGTGGCATTCCGAGTTTTCTCTTCATCGGATCTTTGGCTGTCGCACAACCAGCGGTCTTCCCGTTGATTCCTTCGCTCGCCTTTTCTCCTCCTCCTCCTCCTCCTCTTCTTCGTCCCCCTTCCATCTCTGTTTTCTGTATCTATCCCCCCCTCTCTCTTGTCTCTACCCCTCTATCCGTTTTTGTTTTGGTTTGTCGTCTATCTTTCATTCTCTCGCTCTCTCTCTCTCTCTCAATCTCTCTCTCTCTCTCTCTCTCTCTCTTTTTTTTCTCTCTCTCTCCCTCTCTCTCCTTCTTTCTCCCTTTGTATATCCCTGTCTTCTTCTCTGTCTCTATTGCCCTCTGTCTTTATAACACTTTCTCTCTCTCTCTCTCTGGCTTTCCCTGTCTCTCGCTCTCTTTCTCGCTATCACGCTCTTGCTCTTGCTCTTGCCCTTGCTCTCGATGTTGCTCCCTCTCTGTCTGTCTCTGTCTCTTTCTGTCTCCCTCTCTCTCGCTCTCCCCTCGCTTTCTCCCTCCATCGATGCACACATATCCATGTGCTATGTGTGTATATTCCTATAAGTATACATCCTGTAAGGAAGACTCCCCCCCCCGATGGCCCCCCCCCCGATACCTTTTTTGACGGTCCTCCCTGGGTCCTGGGCCCCCGGATGGCCCTTCCCGCGCCTTCCGATACCTTTTTCGACGCTCCTCCCTGGCCCCAGGGCCCCTTCCAAGACAGCCCAGACGGCCCAGGAGGCCCCCCAGTCCCCAGTGGGCCCCAAGACAGCCCCAAGACAGCTCTGAAGGGCCCGAAGACAGCCCAAGAGGCGCCCAACAGAACCCAAAAAGGCTCCGAGGAAACCCAAACAGGGCCCAAAAGGGCGACCACACCTTCAAATGTCACATTTTCAACCCTGAGAAGGCCCCACAAGGCCCCAAGACGGCCCCCAAAGGCCCCCAAAAGGCTCCAAGAGGCGCAGAAGAAGCCTCCAAAAAGCTCCCCACGAGGCCGCCAACTTGCTGCCCAGAAGCTCCCCACGAGGCCTCCAAGAAGCTCCCCACGGACCTCCAACGAACACTCCAGAGGCTTCTGAGCCACAACCCAGGCACGGCGGGGGGATGGGCCGAAGGCCCCAGGCGGCCCCCGAAGGCCATCCAAAGGCTCCCAAGAAGCCCTGCGAGGCCCTCCCTGAGTCCCCCCAGGGAAGCCCAACTGGCCCCGAAGGGACGCCCTGAAAAGGCCCAATCGGCCTCGAAGGAACCCCGCCCCTAGGAAGCCTGTCAACGGCCCCCGAAAGGACGCCGATGGGCCAAGGCCTTTAGAAATCGAAGAGGGCCCCAAGACAACCCGGAAAGCAAACGAATCCTAGATTTCGCCATCTCCCCAATGCCCCAAAATGCTCCCCAGATAGCCCCCCTACCTTGATATCACGCGGCGGGGGAGGCGGAGGAAAACAATAGCACGCAGGACGAGCAGCAGTGCAGATGGACACGCGCGCAAGTCGGGACGATGGACAGCAGATGTTTCACTTTTGTTTTCTTCGGCGCCGCCGTCGCAGATCACGTCGCGGTCCGATCCTCGTCACCACGGCTGCACGCGGCGCTCATAACTGTTGCGCGTGGACCCCAGGAGGGGTCCCGGCACCTTGCTTTGATCGGATCCTCGTCGCCACGGCTGCACGCGGCGCGAATAACTGTAGCGCGTGGGCCCCAGGAAGTGCCCCGGCACCTCGCGTTGATCGGATGTCATATTCTGGTCCGTCGATGCTTCTGGCGCTTGCTCCAGCCTTACCTCTCCGAGCCATCCACTTTGCGCCCGCTTCAGCTGCAGCGTCGGCACCGCGACGCCGCGACGTCAGGGGCACAACGCCGCCACTCTGGGGACATGTGGGTACCACTGCCTACCGATACTTCATACCCCAGTTGCTTGGACCTCCCATTAGGCTTGGAGGCGCTCGTCGTCGTCGGCCCCTGCAGGCCGTTTTTGGGCGCCCGCGCCGACCAGACAACCCCGTGAGGAAAACAGCGCCGGATGGACCCCGGGAGGGGCCCGGAGAGCCATTTTCAGCGCCTTTGCTCTCGCCCCCAACCGGCCTCCATGAGAGCCCCGAGACACCTCTCACCAGCAAGTGGGCGACGCAGGACTCTTCCAACGTCAGGGCTCCCAAGAGCGAGCCGAAGCTCTTAGCGCCAATACCTGCAAATCGACAGCGCCATGTGTTCCAAGGGGCCTTCAAGAGGGCCCCGAAACATCGCGACCCCTCCCAACGGCTTCACAGAAGCATCCGGGACGCCCAGCCCATCACGTCCACGAAAAACCGCGAAGCAGCCTTCCTGACCAAAGACTTCTCGAAGAAGGCTTCCTTTCCCCCTCATCCTTCTCCTGCTCCTGGCCTTCCTCCTCTCCATTGCGATTTCGGCTCGAGACTTCCAAATGTCATCGGCGCCCTCGCGGCCGCGCTCGAAGCTGTGATCATGGTCAGATCTGGGCGCGCGTTCCAAGGCCGCTCGTGCTCCCAGCTTTCCACGGTCAACGGCCTTCTCGACTTTCGCTCGAGTCCCTCGTCTAGCTCTGTGTTGGACGACAACCTCAAAATTCATGGAACGACGGGCAAACTCGTGCAACCCGTATTCTGCTCCCACGAGCGTTTCGAGGCGGCCTGTGGCATAGACGGCCTGTCACAAGTTGACGACGCCATGCTCGCGCTCTTCAGAGCCGCGTGGCTTGAGCGTGATCGGCGCCACCGTGCGCGGCTCTTGCTGGATCCCACGATAGTCCAAGACTCCCCGGAGGTCGTCCCGGCCGAAGGGTCCGTCTCGCTCAAGGCGGCGGTTGCTTCTACCATGGCCGATCCTTTCTTCTGTGCCACTTCGCGGGGGCTGGGCAAAGTTACTCTGGAGATCCGTCGGATCCTCGCCGCCGCCAAAAGCTGACATGAACATGTCTGGCTCGTGTACATCGGCCGCAGGGCGTATTCTTTAGCAGCTCCGTGCGCTCTGATGGAAGGCCCTCGCATACTCAAGTACGATCGCAGCTGCGCTATCGACCCGGACGCATTGGACAACCTGCTCAAGAACACCAGCCTCGGCGATGGCATCCTTCACGGCGAGAGCAAGACAGAGCTCCGCGTGCGCATCGTCGCCGTCTGGGACCTCTTGCTTGCTGGACGCGCTGAAAGCCCAGCACCCCCGAGCATACCGGCCCAAAGTCTTCATATGCTATGGGGACTTCCGCCGAATCCCCCCCGTCATCCCGAAGGCCAGCCGCCACGTCATCGTCCAGAACACCGTCCAGACCTCCTCGTCGTGGTCCAAGTCCACCCGGTTCCACCTTTCCCGCGTCTGGACAGAAGCTGAAGACGTTTCTTTTTGCCAGTGGATAGACGGCATCGGCGACGGCACGCAACCCACTCAGAGCAGCAACGCCGGTGACTTGGGACTCGTGCCCCTGCGCGACATCGCCACCGCGGCAGACGAAGCGGCGGCCGTCCGACGCGCATTTCCCCGCGTCAACGAGCCGCACCACTGCGCCAACTCCAAGATCCTCGCCGCCGTGAACACGCTGGTGGCCGCGCACAACGAGCGCATTCTGAACGTCTTGGAACGCACTTACCTTTGCCCTTCCTACCACCTGCTCAGCGCCGACACGTTGGACATCGATTCAACGGGCCTCATCGAACCGCACCTGACAGCGGAGTTTCTCGCGCTCCCGAACGCCCCGGGCACACCGCCTCGTGACTTGCACATTGTGGTCGGCGGTCTGTTCGAGCTCACGAGGATTTTCAACCCTGTCGAGCGACTCATGAACCATGTCCCGGTCGTCGTGAAGGCAGTCCACCACCATCTCATTCTTATAGGAACCTTGGACGGCCGCGAGTATCCTTTACCTCGCATCGTGTTCCGCTGGCAGACTGCCAACGGCGCGTCCACCATGGCCCGTCGACAATATCCTCTGCGGGCTGCGTACGCGTCCACCTTCACTGGAGGGCAGGGCCGCACGCTCGCGCGCGCGTGCGTTGACGTGCGCCGAGGCCCTTGTGCCCATGGGCATCTCTATGGGGGCGTCAGTAGAGTCAAAAACCGCGACGATATGCGCGTTCTCCCCGATTTTGAGAATTTGGACTAGAACGGCAACGCCTTAGTGCGCAACGTCGTCTGGCCCGAGCTGCTTATGCGATCGGACCCGCCCCGTCCGAAGCACCGTGGACTCACGCCGCGCAGGCGACCTGCCGCCTGCCGATGATAATCGCAGAGAAAATACGTGCCCATCCCTTCTCGAAGCGCCCGTGGCCGCCCCGTCTCCTGGAAATGACCTTCACCCCCCTCCCGGTCATTGGCGTCGACCCCTCGTCGTGCCGACCCCTGCCCCTCTCCGACGATCGTCGCATCCGCCCCACCACGTCGACATCGTCCTCCTCCCCGTCCCCCTCCTCATCATCCTCCTCTTCACCCGAATTTGAACTCATTCTTTCATTCGCCCACCCCGCTGACGCTCATGGCGTTGCTTCTTGACCGCCATGACCGCGACCCCCCTTGTGGTCTCCGTTTCCTTCTTCCTTTCCTCGGTGACCATGGCCTCGTCGCGACAAATCGTTTTTTTTTTTTTTTTTTTTTTTTTTTTTTTTTTTTTTTTTTTTTTTTTTTTTTTTTTTTCCAAATGAAGGAATGCCTGTGGCCCGTCCGGGAAGATGACCGCGACCCTTCTCATGGTCACCACGTGCTTGCAGCAATCATTCATTCACCGAGTGTTCGGTTGCGCGCGGGCGCAGGACCAATATTGAGGCGAAGCGAAGCGAGCCCTCAAATCTTGTATGTACATATACACACATCTATACATATATGCCTGTACATTTATGCACGCATATGTGTGATACATATGCATGGCAACCTCGGGTGTCAACGAACTGTTGCTCCCAGCCTGTGCACCAACGAGGAATAGGAGGATGTGTAAAAAGCTGAGGAGGATGACAAGGATGAGGATGATGATGAGGATGATGATGAGGAGGAAGAGGAGGAGGAGGAGGAGGAGGAGGAGGAGGAGGAGGAGGAGGAGGAGGAGGAGGAGGAGGAGGAGGAGGAGGAGGAGGATGAGGAGGAGGAAGATGAGGAGTAACCGCCATCCGATTTCAGGTTTCTTGATGTGGAGAGGATCTGAAGTCCAAGTGGATGTCCGATTGCAGACCTGTTCGCGGAGGAGGAGGGGGAATAAAGAGGGGGGTCGGGTTGGATGCATTTTTGGCTGGCACGCAAGAGAGACAGTTTGTACCTCGTGACGCGGGCGGGTCCCCCCAGGGGGCAGGGGGCTGCTCGCATTCGGCTTCTAGTATTGTTGGGCAGCTGGCCGGCTCTCTGGCCCTCTTGCCCCTCCCCCTCCGCCCCTGCTGCTATTCTTCTTGCTGCCTTTAACTCGCACCCCCCCCGTCTTTTCCTCCCTCCCTCTTTGCCCTGCTTACCTCTTGCTTTCCCTTTCGCTCTCGCCCTCCCTTTCCCTCTCTTTCTCCCTGCCCCTGCATCTCTCTCTGTATCATTCCTGTTTATCAGCATCTTCCTCTCCCCTCTGCTGCCATCGGTCTGCAGCTCCTCGTCTGTGACAGCCGCTAGGGTGCTCCTGTTCATATTGAGTGGCCAGCGCATTTTGCCGACTCATTCTTGACAATCGAGTTGCTTGCTCTCCCTCCCTCCTCCCGATCTCCTGTCCGTCTCTTCCGCGCCTCTCTCCCCTCTCCTTCCCCCCCCTTCCCTCTTTCTTCCCTCCTTTCTTCCCCTCCTGTCCCCTCTCCTGTCCGTCCCTCGCGCTCCCCTCTCCTCTCTTTTTCCCGCCTCCTTCCTCCTCTTCTGCCCCCGCTCCTCCAGCCACAGCCAGCCGCGCCGCTTTTCGATGCTCAGCGCTCCGTGCACAGCTCTGCACACCGCGCGCTCTGCCCCCCGCTTTGGCCTGCGCGTGTTCCTGCGCATGCTCTCTGCGCTGCACAGCCGCGTGCTCTCCGCCACTGCTCCCAGTGCCTTTCGGGCGGGTGTCGCCGCCTCGGCCTCTGCTCAGAGTGCTGCGTCCTGTGAGGTCGGGCGCTCGTTTGCAGTGCAGGGCGCTCGGCGACGTTTCCCTGCCCCGCTCCCCTCGGCTTACCGGGGGGGGGGGGGAGGGCGTACTTGACAATGTCGCTCGGTATCAGGACCAGTCGGCCAGTGCGCTGTTTCATGCTGGCCAGGCGCATCCCCGTGCGTGCGTTCCTGCGTGCGCGCGCGAGTGTTGCGTTTTCGCACCGAGTGCCCGTGTCTGCTGATGGGGTGTGCCGTTCGTTCCCTTCGTCTTCCTCGTTCTTCTCCCAACGCCGCTTCTGAGCGCCAGTCGCAGTTCCGCACGGCCTCGCCATACTAAAGATCCGAGCCAGAGCGCTGTCGGCGCGTGCACTTGTCGTGTCACGGGCACAGAGTCCAATGAGCGGGTTCCACCAGCTTGGTCACCAGTCATGTCGTACCAGCGGCGGATGAAAACGCCCGCGGAGGTTTATGCGCCCTGTGACTTGGACAGCGGTCTGAAATCTTGTCGCCCTTCCGTCTCCACACCCCTCTCGCTCTTCCTCTGCCTCCTCGTCGCCCCTTCTTTTCGCGCTCTCATCCCTGCCGCTACCTTGCTTTCCTGGAGGATACCAATGGGTCTCTTCCCTGACTGAGGCCTTTCGCTATACCAAGAAGATATGGGCGCACGATGAGCACTCCGAGTGCCGCATAGGGGACGTGGTGCGGGTGCAGCCCCTTGGCTACCGCATCGGGTCCTCGCCTTTTCAAGGGGCACGGAGGGATGTGGCGGAGGCCTGAGGGACCCACGGGGAGGCAGTGGGGACGGAGGAGGGCGAAAGTGAAGAGGAGGAGGTCAGCACCATTTTCCATGAACAGCTTGTCTGTGAGGAGTTCGGCACCATTTTCTATGAACCGCTTGCCTATCGTTTAAGGGCACGCGTGAGTCTCTTCGGATCCGGAGTCGGTGGCTTGTGGCCCGTGGTCTCCCGTATGGTCTCCCGTGTGGTCCCCCGTGTGGTCTCCCGTGTGGACTTTGCACGGCCTCCCGTATGGTCCTCTCTACGCTCTCCCGCATGCTCGCTCTCTCTCAGTACGGTCTCCCGTAGGTTATCCCGTACGGTCTCCCAGGTGGTCTTCCCGATGTGCAGTCGCAGTATGCTGCTCGTTGTGCTTGTCTGTCGTGCTGTTGAGGATGTTCCGCCGCGGGGGTATGACGGTCGTAGTGTGTGTGTGTGTATATGCGCGCGCGCGTGTGTGTGTGTGTGTGTGTGTGTGTGTGTGCGTATGTGTTGTGTGTGTGTGTGTGCGTATGTGTGTGTGTGTGTGTGTGTGTGTGTGTGTGTGTGTGTGTGTGTGTGCGTGTGTGTGTGTGTGTGTGTGTGTGTGTGTGTGTGTGTGTGTGTGTGTGTGTTTGCACGTGTGTTCGTGTGTGTGTGTGTGTGTGTGTGGGTGGCGTCATGGGCACCTCCACCTGCCGACCTCGCCTGAGACTCCTCTGCGCCGCCGACTTAAGAGTGTGCGTGTGGGGGTATGTGTGATTTTGTGCACGCCTGTTCTGCATCGGGCGATGCAGTGCTTGTGCCAATACTTCTTCCGCGTGCGTCCGCCTTCGCGGCCTCTTTCTACTTGCATGCGACTGCCCCATCCTGTCCAGCTATCTGCTACGCAAGGTGGAAAGTCGCCTGAGCTTACGCTGTTCCCATCGTACTTCATGGTCGAATCCCAGAAATAATGTCGTGCACCCAGAAATACCGTGCCTGCCCGACCCGATGGCGAAGTGTCGAACGAGCAACGCCTCCCAGGGACGTGAACACCGGGGAACGATGAGGAGGAGGGAGGCGGAGGATGATCGGGAGTAGGAGGAGGAGGTGGACGAGCTTGATACGTGTTCACATATGGCTGCGTGCAGGACTATATTCACGACGAGGTGGGCGAAGAGGTAAACCAAGGGCAGTATGTTGCATCTGAAAACTTGCTAATCTTGGAACTACCGCTGCTGCGAACGACGTGTAATGAAATCCACCTCACGGGTGTATTTGCTGTGCGAGTGCTGCTTCGCCAAGCCGCAGCCTGCGCCAAGTTCAGGATGCTGCGTTCCCAGCGTGCCCGCACGATGAACTCTACCGAGCTTGACGTCTAGGAGCGCCGTGAAGCTCCATGCTGCCTTAATGACGCACCCCTGCCTTTTGTTGTTGCGTTCTTTCTTTGCATGTGCTGCAACGAGTCTCTTGCCGCTGGCTGTTTTGGAAGGGCAGCGCAGGCCATTGGGGTCCAGGGGAGCTGCGGAAAGCGAGTGCCCTGCCCCAGGCAGGCGGCCCTGGGCGTGCTGTGATGGAGTTGGATAGGTGGCTTCAGCTTCAGCCAGTCCCTAAAAAGACAGACCTATTCCGATTGGAGGGTCGAATTATGGTGGTAGCCTAACTTCGCCCTCTCAGGCTTGTACTGGAAGAACGGAAAGAGCGCGTCCTGTGGAGGTTCGGGAAGGGGGGTTGGGGGGTCGAATCGTTCCCCCCCTTGAATTGCAGGGGGAGGGTGTTCGAAGGAGGGGGGTTCAACCAAGGGTCACCCCTCTCTTTTCAACTGGAAGAAAGGGGGGGCTCGACTCCCCCTCCCACCTTCTCCCCCTGAGCCCCCCTCCGATGACGACGATGACGATGACGATGACGATGAGAACGGCGACGATGACGACGACGATGATGATGATGCTGATGCTGATGCTGATGCTGATGCTGATGCTGATGATGCCGAGGACGATGCTGATGGTTTTGATGATGATGATGACGAATCTGGTGCTGATGATGAAGATGCTGCGGATGACGATGATCGTGATGATGTCGATGTTGTTCATGATGATGGTGAGGAGGATGATGCTGATGATTGTGATGATGGTTGTCATGCTGATGACACTGATGACGATGCTGCTTGCGATGGCGATGGCAATGATGATGGGCATGGCGATGCTGCTGCTGATGATGATGGCGGTGACGGTGATGATGATGATGAAGATGATGATGAGGATGATGCTGATGATGATGATGATGCTGATGATGATGATGTCGATGACAATGTGATGATGATGATGATGGTTGTGATGATGATAGTGATGACAATAATGGTGATGATGATGTTGACGCTGATGAGTGTGATGATGGGGATGACGACGACGATGATAAAGCGTGTGTTACTAATACCAATCATGTTGCTAACGCTGCTGCTGATGGTGATCATGCTGATGGTGACGCTAATGGTGATGCTGATGATGATATTGACGACGATGATGCTGATGATGATTATGATGATGATGATGATGATGATGATGATGATGATGATGGAATGATGATGCAATGCTGATGATGACGACTGCGATGACGATGTCGATTATGAGGTTGCTGCTAATGCTGATGCTGATGCTAATGATGCTGATCAGGCTGATTATGGCGATGATGCTGTCGCAGATGATGATGGTGATGCAGGTGCTGATGCTGGTAACGATGATGCTGCTGCTGATGATGATGATTGTGATGACGATGCTGACCATAATGATGATGACGATGATGATTATGATGATGATGATGATGCTAATGATACTGATGATGATGAGTATGCCGATGATAACGATGACGATGGTGATGATGCTGCTGCTGCTGATGATTATGCTGATTATAATGATGATTACGGTGATGATGACGATGATGATGATGATGATGATGATGATGATTCTGGTACTGCTGTTGATGATGGCGATGATGGCGATGATGATGAGATGATGATGATGATGATGATGATGATGATGATGATGATGATGATGATGATAGCGATTGATACTGCGAGTGATGATGCTGCTGACGCTGATGATGATGATGATGATGATGATGATGATGGTAACAATGATGCTGATGATGATGCTTCTGCTGCTGCTGATGATGATGATGATGATGACGCTGCTGCTGCTGCTGATGACGGTTGTGATGACGACGATGATGCCAATAATGATTAGGATGCTGATGAAGATGATGCTGAGGACGATGCTGATGGTGTTGATGATGATGATGGTGCTGATGAGGATGGTGATGAGGAGGATGCGGATGACGATGATGGTGATGATGTCGATGTTGTTCATGATGATGGTGCAAATGATGATGATGCTGATGATGGTAATGATGATCGTCATGATGATGACGATGCTGATGATGACGATGCTGATGACGATGATGACGATGATGCTGATGATGCTGCTGCTGATGATGATGACGATGACGATGATGCTGATGATGATGATAATGATGATGATGCTGATGATGCAGATACTGATGCTGCTGCTGATGGTGATGATGATGGTGCCAAATCGTAATAGCATCATCCTGTAATGTCCTGCCCGCCCGACCCGACCCGCACGTTAGGGTCCGCCCACCCGCCCCGACCCGCCCGTTAGGGGTCTGACGTTCCAACCGGATTTTGTATCTAATGTTGGGGGTGAGATCGTAGTGGAACGGAGGGCACCCCACCGGGAAATCGGTTTCGGTTTCGTGTTCGTGTCGTGCTTGCGGGCGCGGCGAATTTGCGTGGGCGCGCGAGAGGGATGATACCGCCGTCGCTAGGGCGATTCGGATGCAGTGGATTGCCCCTCCGCCCCCGGTGGGCGTGCAGTGGCCCGGGGTGTCCCGCCATGGTGTCCTGTGGTGTCCCGTTGGTGTCCCGTTTGTGTCGCGTCGGTGTTCCGTCGGCGGTGGGAGGGCGGTGGCAGGGGTTGTCCCGCCATGGTACCGATAGTGAAGTCCATCGTGAGATCGATAATCATATCGCAAGAATGAGGTGGATAGTGAGATCAAAAGGACAAGGAAGATCGACAGTGAGGTTGATTGTGACATTGGTTGCGAGATCGATCGTGATATTGATAGTGAGATCGATAGAGGAGTCGATCGTGAGATTGGTAGTGATATCGATTGTGATATTTAAATGAGATCTGTAGTGAGACCTATAGCGAGATCGATAGTGATATTTACAGTTGGATCGATCGAGTGTGATCGATCCTGTGAGTTCGATCGTGGGATCGATCGAGTGAGATCGAAAGCGGGGACGATAGTCACATTACATCGCAGCGCAACATCGTCATCACGTGTCGTCGCTAACTCGATGGCGCGTCACCAGCATCGTCAGTATCACACCCCTCACATTTGCCAGCAGTTGGTTCTTTCCCCCCACCCCCCAACCTCCTTATCTCCCGAGGGGTGGTCGTGTAGGTCATCCTTGAATGTCCTGCCCGCGCGACCCGACCCGTCCATTAGAGTCCGCCCGCCCGATTCGCCCCGCCTGTTAGGGTCCTTACTTGTCAATTTGATCACGCATCACACTTTGATATTCTACCGGGGTCGCCCCGACCCTCCCGTTAGGGTCCGTCCGCCCGCCCTGGCCTGCCTGTTAGGCGTCGCCGTCGTCGGTTGTCCCCGTCGTCGTCTTCGTCGTTGTCGTCGTCGACGTCGTCGTCGTCGTCGACGTCTTGGCAGCGTTGTCGTCGTCGTCGCCGTCGTCGGTGGCCGTCGGCGTCATTGTCGTCGTCGTCGTCGTCGTCGTTGTCGTCACAGTTGTGCTTGTCGTCTTCTTCCTCGTCTTCCGTTGTCGTCGTCGTGTTTTCCGACCTCCGTCGTCGGCGTCATCGTCGTCGTCGTCGTAGTCGGCCGTCTCCTTTGTCGTCCCTCGGCGTCGTCGTCGTCCGTCGTCCGTCGTATGCGTCGTCGTCGTCCGCGTCGTCGTC